TACAGCATACAATGACATTCTAAACAATTCTGTGCTTCCAACTTTGTGGCAACAGTTTGGGGAAGGCCCTTTCCTGTTCCAGCATGACAATGCCCTCGTGCACAAAGCGAGGTCCATACAGAAATAGTTTGTTGAGATCGGTGTGGAAGAACTTGACTGGCCTGCACAGAGCCCTTACCTCAACCCCATAGAACACCTTTGGGATGAATTGGAAAGCTGACTGCGAGCCAGACCTAATCGCCCAACATCAGTGCACGACCTCACTAATGCTCTTGTGGCTGAATGGAAGCAGGTCCCCACAGCAATGTTCCAACATCTAGTGGAAAGCATTCCCAGAAGAGTGGAGGCTGTTATAGCAGCAAAGGGGGAACCAACTCCAAAAATAAACATGATTTTGGAATGAGATGTTCGACGAGCAGGTGTCCACATACTTTTGGTCATGTAGTGTAAGAAACTAGTTGAACAATTCAACTAAGAAACATCATGATCGAGAAAACGGTTAAGTTAAATGACACAAATGCAAAACACACACTGGCAAACCAGAGGCCCTATTCAAGGCCAAGCTCTTCCATTCATTCCCATCCCTCCAGGGAGAGCTTGCCCTCTCATAGACACAGCAGCATGATCTGATTCCCACTCTCCTCTTAGAAACACAGCTATATTTATCTCGCTGTGATGATTTCACACAGATCAACACTTTTCAGTGATAATCCTTTCTTTCTCTAGCTCCATTTCTGTCTCGAGGTGTAAAAATAGAATGAACACAACGTGCCAAGCCCTGGGGAGCATATGAAACTGTCTATTTCTCTCATGCCTCTTTCCCAGCAGAAACAAAAATAGTTGTGTACTTTCTGCAAAGCTGACTCTTCCCACCAGCTATCCATCATATATGAGAAAGCTACATTTAGCCAAGTATCCATATAAATCTCAAAGCCTGCAGGACTTGCATCCATATCATTACAGTAACTACTCTGATCTTATAATTGGAAAGAATACCGGAATAAAAAGGGTGAAATCCTTCTAGACATTCCTTTATTTAGGTCATTTACAGTACAAACATGCATACACACAAAAGCAATAGCCTCATATACACTATATTTCATCAACATAAGAAGCCCCTGGGAGTTTGTGTGAAAAGAAGAGAAACAGTCTTTCTGTCTCAGGCTGCCAGTATGTAATCTCATTTAACCCAGAACTCAAATCTTGCGTAATTTGGTCAGCTGCGTGGGTCCATGTGTTAGAAATTGGGAGCTCCGATTTGCGAAGCCTCAACCCTTGCAACAAAAAAAAAACTCAGCCAAAAAACCCTCCCCTCCTCTAATTTAACCTGTGTTTATTATCCCCTGGGTTTAAAATTGGTTAAGCACCGCCTTCGCCCAATCCTGATCCTTCCAAATAATCAATGTCAGATTCTTCGGTTTACGCGCAGAATCTGTCCATGAGAGATTTGCCAATATGAAACAACAAGCTCCATGATTAATTTCAGCCCTTGTAGCGCTGTATTCTGATTAAACATGAACCGCTGTCACAGACTATTTCCACATGAATATGGATGGCATTTTTTATAAAAGCACACCCGCAGGGGAGGGCACAGAGCTCATCCTCATCTGCACTATCATTAGCACATCAGCCCGTTTCTCATTTGGATGGTAATGAAAATGACTGCACTTTCAGCACTTGTGCCTATCCTGTGTCACATTCCTGCCTCGTTCCATTTCAATCCCTAGCTTCCCAACTGCTTCTTTCATATAGATTTCGGATTTCACCTATCCAGTTCAGATCTGTAAAAAAAACAGAGGTAGGGGCTGAGGAAAGGACTATCCAGTTCTCATACTCATTGACACAGCAAACTACAGTGGGGAAAAAAAGTATTTAGTCAGCCACCAATTGTGCAAGTTCTCCCACTTAAAAAGATGAGAGAGGCCTGTAATTTTCATCATATGTACACGTCAACTATGACAGACAAAATGAGAAAAAAAAATCCAGAAAATCACATTGTAGGATTTTTAATGAATTTATTTGCAAATTATGGTGGAAAATTAGTATTTGGTCAATAACAAAAGTTTCTCAATACTTTTATATACCCTTTGTTGGCAATGACACAGGTCAAACGTTTTCTGTAAGTCTTCACAAGGTTTTCACACACTGTTGCTGGTATTTTGGCCCATTCCTCCATGCAGATCTCCTCTAGAGCAGTGATGTTTTGGGGCTGTCGCTGGGCAACACAGACTTTCAACTCCCTCCAAAGATTTTCTATGGGCTTGAGATCTGGAGACTGGCTAGGCCACTCCAGGACCTTGAAATGCTTCTTACGAAGCCACTCCTTCGTTGCCCGGGCGGTGTGTTTGGGATCATTGTCATGCTGAAAGACCCAGCCACGTTTCATCTTCAATGCCCTTGCTGATGGAAGGAGGTTTTCACTCAAAATCTCACGATACATGGCCCCATTCATTCTTTCCTTTAAACAGATCAGTCGTCTTGGTCCCTTTGCAGAAAAACAGCCCCAAAGAATGATGTTTCCACCCCCATGCTTCACAGTAGGTATGGTGTTCTTTGGATGCAACTCAGCATTCTTTGTCCTCCAAACACGACGAGTTGAGTTTTTACCAAAAAGTTCTATTTTTGTTTCCACTGACCATATGACATTCTCCCAATCCTCTTCTGGATCATCCAAATGCACTCTAGCAAACTTCAGACGGGCCTGGACATGTACTGGCTTAAGCAGGGGGACACGTCTGGCACTGCAGGATTTGAGTCCCTGGCGGCGTAGTGTGTTACTGATGGTAGGCTTTGTTACTTTGGTCCCAGCTCTCTGCAGGTCATTCACTAGGTCCCCCCCGTGTGGTTCTGGGATTTGTGCTCACCGTTCTTGTGATCATTTTGACCCCACAGGGTGAGATCTTGCATGGAGCCCCAGATCGAGGGAGATTATCAGTGGTCTTGTATGTCTTCCATTTCCTAATAATTGCTCCCACAGTTGATTTCTTCAAACCAAGCTGCTTACCTATTGCAGATTCAGTCTTCCCAGCCTGGTGCAGGTCTACAATTTTGTTTCTGGTGTCCTTTGACAGCTCTTTGGTCTTGGCCATAGTGGAGTTTGGAGTGTGACTGTTTGAGGTTGTGGACAGGTGTCTTTTATACTGATAACAAGTTTAAACAGGTGCCATTAATACAGGTAACGAGTGGAGGACAGAGGTGCCGCTTAAAGAAGAAGTTACAGGTCTGTGTGAGCCAGAAATCTTGCTTGTTTGTAGGTGATCAAATACTTATTTTCCACCATAATTTGCAAATAAATTCATTTTTCTCAATTTGTCTGTCATAGTTGACGTGTACCTATGAAGACAATTACAGGCCTCTCATCTTTTTAAGTGGGAGAACTTGCACAATTGGTGGCTGACTAAATAATTTTTTCCCCCACTGTAAGTGATCTAGACTTGTTTGTAAACTCAGCAAAATAGAAACGTCCCCTTTTCAGGACCCTGTCTTTCAAAGATAATTCTTAAAAATCCAAATAACTTCACAGATCTTCATTGTAAAGGGTTTAAAACACAGTTTCCCATGCTTGTTCAATGAACCATAAACAATTAATGAACATGCACCTGTGGAACGGTCGTTAAGACACTAACAGCTTACAGACGGTAGGCAATTAAGGTCACAGTTTTGAAAACTTAGGACACTAAAGAGGCCTTTCTACTGACTCTGAAAAACACCAAAAGAAAGATGCCCATGCTCATCTGTGTGAACGTGCCTTAGGCATGCTGCAAGGAGGCATGAGGACTGCAGATGTGGCCAGAGCAATAAATTGCAATCTCCATACTGTGAAACCCCTAAGACAGCACTACAGGGAGACAGGACGGACAGCTGATCGTCCTCGCAGTGGCAGACCCCGTGTAACAACACCTGCACAGGATCAGTACATCCGAACATCACACCTGCGGGACAGGTACAGGATGGCAACAACAACTACCCGAGTTACACCAGGAACGCACATTCCCTCCATCAGTGCTCAGACTGTCCGCAATAGGCTGAGAGAGGCTGGACTGAGGGCTTGTTTGCCTTTTGTAAGGCAGGTCCTCACCAGACATCACCGGCAACGTCATCGCTTATGGGCACAAACCCAGCGTCGCTGGACCAGACAGGACTGGCAAAACGTTCACTTCACTGACGAGTCGCGGTTTTGTCTCACCAGGGGTGATGGTCGGATTCACATTTATCGTCGAAGGAATGAGCGTTACACCGAGGCCTGTACTCTGGAGCGGGATCGATTTGGAGGTGGAGGGTCCGTCATGGTCTGGGGTGGTGTGTCACAGCATCATCGGACTGAGCTTGTTGTCATTGCAGGCAATCTCAACGCTGTGCATTACAGGGAAGACATCCTCCTCCCTCATGTGGTACCCTTCCTACAGGATCATCCTGACATGACCCTCCAGCATGACAATGCCATCAGCCATACTGCTCGTTCTGTGCATGATTTCCTGCAAGAGGAATGTCAGTGTTATGTGCCATGGCCAGCGAAGAGCCCGGATCTCAATCCCATTGAGCACGTCTGGGACCTGTTGGATCGGAGAGTGAGGGCTAGGGCCATTCCCCCCAGAAATGTCCGGGAACTTGCAGGTGCCTTGGTGGAAGAGTGGGGTAACATCTCACAGCAAGAACTGGCAAATCTGGTGCAGTCCATGAGGAGGAGATGCACTGCAGTACTTAATGCAGCTGGTGGCCACACCCCCCCTTTGTTCAGGGACACATTATTCAATTTATGTTAGTCACATGTCTGTGGAACTTGTTCAGTTGATGTCTAAGTTGTTGAATCTTGTTATGTTCATACAAATATTTACACATGTTAAGTTTGCTGAAAATAAACGCAGTTGACAGTGAGAGGACGTTTCTTTTGTTGCTGAGTTTATAAGGTGAGGCTGTTTCCCCATCCATCTTCATTGTAGAGACAGTTTAGTTTCACTAATGGTTTCACTAATGGAGAAGGTCAAAGGTGGAGTGAAGCGTCAGTACTGGGATACCTGTATGAGACAGCCTACCTTAGTCCTGTTCTCTATCTCATAGATGGAGAGTTGCATGGGAATGTTAAAGCTGTGCAGAATGTTGCCTCCGAACACCAGTGTGTCCTCGGGGGTGTAGACTGCATGAATCCAGCCTGAAACGGGACAGCCAGCCAAACATCATGAGAACCAGCTGACCCACTCAAAACATGCTCAGACATGCTCAGGCAGATAGACATGGTATGCCCAAACATGTTCTCAAACACATGCCCGAATAAAGCAGTGCATGTACTGTATGGTTTGTTACAATGATATTATGATAGGAATAGATCAAAACAAAATGCTAGGCAGCTCACCGGAGGGGATGAAGAAGGTGTAGCCCTGTTTTAGCTCAACTCTCTGGCAGCCATCTGCACGGTCTCCCAGGAAGACGTCACTCTGCTTGCCTGACAGAACCCAGTCCTCATACAGGGCAAGGTTATGAGGTGTCGGAGGCACCAGCCAGAACACCTGGGGACAGGACAGGGAGATAAAAGTTGGGGATGTGGCTTTGGTTGTCATCTAAAAACATGGGCGATATATTTCTATATGTTAACAACACTCAAGGTTACAGCTTATAATAGAGAAGTCAGCACATTTCGTAGATTTGCTCATCCTTTCACATAATGTTCTTCCCCATCGCTTCCTCTTCTTGCTCTAGCACGACCTTTTGCTAGTTTGTATAATGTGATCCCTCAAAGGTGTGCATACGGACACCCTAGCAACAATCCTCTGATTTCTGCTGACTCTGCAGCCGTCGCTGAGACAAACAGGGAACAGGTTCATTTGTAGCGCCTCTACAGAAATCGGATACATGTACAGTACCAGGATTGGGGGAGGGTATACCAGAGAGCCTCAGGATGCACTGTTGTTTGCCACATACTGTCTGGAAAACAAACAAACATGACAACTTACCTTTCCTCCCTTGAAAACGTGATACCACACAGACGTGCCCCCGAAATCAATGTGGAAGTCAGTATAGCAGCCCTTCACGCTCATCAAACAGTACCTACAGAGGGAGATGAGAGGGGTGGAGGATGACCCACTGCATCTGAATAGTTTTGATGAACTTGAGGGACCATATTTTCTTTGTTTGGTAGCCTAGCCGTTAAGAGCGTTGGGCCAGTAACCAAAACGTCGCTGGTTCGAATCCCTGAGCCGACTAGGTGAAAAATATGTCGATGTGCCCTTGAGCAAGGCACTTAACCCTAATTGCTCCAGCAATTCGCTCTGGATAAGAGCGTCTGCTAAATGACTAAAATGTAACTGTAAAAAGACTATGGGCTAGGGGCTGAGCTGAATGAACATCATTTACATTTAAGTCATTTAGCAGACGCTCTTATCCAGAGCGACTTACAGTTAGTGAGTGCATACATTTTTCATCATAAACCGAAAATAAAAGATGTGCAGTATGGCCACCAATTATATAAAAACAGTGTGTTAGAAATGTTCAGTGAGCTCGTTTTGTGTTAAATGTTCTTACCCCAGAAACGATACAGTAATTGTACCATTTCAACATTCCAGTTGTGCATTGTACAACTGAATAAGGAAGCTATTTGGGCAAAAATGTCTTTGTGATTTATTCCTAAGAAACAAGCACTCAAACCACAATATCTGTTTGAAATCCACTACTCTCTACTACAACTGCCAGTACCCTATTCCAACACACACACAAAAATCAGTAACCACAAATAAGCTAACAGAATCGCTCACAACGGCCTCTCTTCTGGAAATTAATTGTGGAATGATTAGGGCTCCGTGGGACATAAATCATTCAGTGAGATAAGACTGAGGAGGAGAACAGGTCTATTAATAGAACGGGACCCGACCACTGACTCCAATAGCCTCATATAAACCAGACTGATTACCGCTGCGCTATAGTAAAACAATGTAAGCTCGCGAAATCAGGCGGCTTGCGAGGTTATGACTGAGGCTATGACTCCAGGGCTTCAGTGGAGAAAATGGAACACACTATCATTTAGGACTGGGACGATACCAGTATCGCAATATTTTTTCCATGACAAAAATTAAATTACAAGGCAGACCTAAACTCTAAAATATTGTGTGGTATAGTTTGGAAAATAAAAGAATGTGACTTTGGATGACAACATAATGATGTTTGTTTCCAACATTAAGGCTGTTTTCCTAAAGAAGTTAAATCCGCTTAGTGTTTTGTTTCCTTGCCACGATACTAACGAGTATCACAATACTTGTATTGTCCCGGCCATACTATCATTACAAGGCACATTATTGTTAGAGCCGCAGTCATGATTTTTGTTAGGTGGTTTGATTTGTATGTAGGCTACTGTAAAATGGTGCATCTGTTCTCCTGGTATCATTTTGCAGCCAGCACAGTCAGTCTACTCTCAAGGTTTCTCAGATTGAAATCAGCTAATATTATTGCTAGCTACAAGTGCATACCACACACTGAGTGTTTGATAGATAAAAACTGCCAAATAAAAAGTATGGCCGGGACGATACCAGTATCACGATACTCGTTAGTACCGGGGCAAGGAAACAAAACACGAAGCGGATTTAACTTCTTTAGGAAAACAGCCCTAATGTTGGAAACAAACATCATTATGTTGTCATCCAGAGTCACTTTTTTTCTCCAAGCTATAGAACACAATATTTTAGAGTTTGTCTGCTTCGTGTTTTCATTTTTGTCATGGAAAAAATGGTGATACTGGTATCGTCACAGCCCTAGTAAAAAGGCTGTGATACTTCTAATCCAAAGCCTTCTACTGTGGATATGACAGGGTAGAAATTCCACTCTTCAAGTCATTGGTCAGCCAACACATGAGTAATGAATAAACCATATACTAATTCTATACCCGACACTGATCAACACAAACCCTGGTCCTGTTGTATGGGAAATAACCTCTCTTGGCAACATGAGTCTGCCAGGAAGTCTCAATAACATCAGGCAGCTGATCAATACAAGCTTGTTTGCCTCCTCTGATCCAGTCAGTCGCAGGAGCTCATTTACATTTACATTTTAGTCATTTAGCAGACGCTCTTATCCAGAGCGACTTACAGGAGCAATTAGGGTTAAGTGCCTTGCTTAAGGGCACATCGACAGATTTTTCACCTAGTCGGCTCGGGGATTAGAACCAGCGACCTTTCGGTTACTGGCACAACGCTCTTAACCACTATGCTACCTGCCGCCCCATAAAATACAGACCACTTCCCATCCTGTCAACGCGGCTAATTTTGTCCATACATATAATTCGATTTGGTCTAGTTACATTTTAGTCATTTAGCAGATGCTCTTATCCAGAGCGACTTACAGTTAGTGAGTGCATACATTTTTCATACTGGCCCCCCGTGGGAAACGAACCCATAACCCTGGCGTTGCAAGCGCCATGCTCTACCAACTGAGCTACAGGAGGCCACTACATAAGTCTATGGCTAAGTTATAGTTATCTAGCCCCGGTTGGCTCCTACAGTATGAGGCCAGTCAGACAGATACAGGCTTGTCATCCATCCCACAGCAGTGTATCTGCACCTTCCCACAGAGACACCGGAGGAGAGGGTTCACATGGGCTGGAGACCGGAGTATGACCTTGACTGAGGTAATGGTGGAAACTGCCAGTATAAGCACATTATAAATGCTCCCACTCAGAGGGAGAAGGTCACCTCATCCATATAGACACACATATCACCTACACTCAACAGAACATGTCAAGACACATAATACTGTATGGTTTACAGACTTCACTGAGGGCCCATCTGCTGAACCTGTGAGACACTCACAGAATCACACACACAGATCCCCAGCCTATTGCACTGCAGTTTCCTCTATGCAGCTCTCCTCTGGATAGAGAGTGAGCAGACCCTGGGCTATAGAAGCCCAACATCCCCCTACAACACACCACTTACGATCAATCACACCAGCCCTTGAGCGTCTCCATTAAAGAGGGTGTAAATAAATCAAAGTAAAATGACATGGTAGAGTACTCCCGACATCTCTTAATCTGAACAGCTTTTCCCAATAAAAGACAGAGACGTACCCGATAGCTATTCCTCTCTCTCTGAGCCGGTTCACTCAGGACCCCCCCCCCCCCCCCCCCCCCCACACCCCCACCCCCCATGCGCTGGTCACCGACCGGACAGGAGAGAACTGCTCCGGCTTTTATTTCTGCCCTGCACCATTTAGTAAAAAAGAGAGAGGAGTGGGAGACTGGGAGAAGGAGAGAGAATATTAGAGTGAAAGAGAGAGCTAGAAAGAGAGAGCAAGATAGAGAGAGGGGAAGAGTGAGGGTGAAAGGGAGGGCAAAATTGGCTCTGGAGTGCCCCCTATGTCATAATGCTGGCAGCTGATTGGCTGAGGAGGAGCCATGCAGTCACTTCTGCATCCTGTGAAGAACCATGAAAGAGCCCTGCTGCCTAGCAACCATCTAGAACCATCAGAGGAAGTGAACGACAGCAGCGGAGTAAAAGAGGGAGGGCTAAGGGACTGGAAACAGGAGGGGTAGGCTAATATTTCCTCCCTGCAAAGCAGCAATTTTCCGACAGCTTTTTTTAAAAAATTTGGCCTGTGCTTCAGTGTTTTCCTGTTATGTACAATCAACTACATTTTCGTAATAGGTCAACACATCAAAAGAAACACTAGATAAAAAATCTAAAGAAACTTTGACATTGCATGGGAAATACCATGCAATAACTAACGGAATTTCTAAAAGACAAATTACTTACTTCTGTACTTTGGGGTACTTCATCTCTGAGATGACATTAGTGGCTTCAGTTTGTCTTTGTTTCAGTTTAAGGGGCCACATGTTGTCCACCCAGTCCACTAGATCCACCTATAAGAGAGTTGACAGTTGGCATTCACTATCAAATGTGCCCTCATCATAATGGATAAATGAATTAAAAACTGGCGCCGCCATCTCACCACAGTGGGCCTCTTGACGAGGTTCTCCAGTTTGGTGTGGCTGAACTCCAGGCTGATAACATTGAAGAGTTTGTCCCGCTCCTCCTCAGGCGTCTCGTAGTAGCGGACAAACTGAGCCATGCTCATCTCAGAGCCTTTCTGAGTGCTCACGTCCATCACGTCAACGGCACGACGGCTACCTGCAAACACAAACACAGCAGTCTTACTGTAAACCTGAACACTACCATGTGACATGAGAGATCTTATTAGAGGTCATTTTGCCTAAGTAAAAAGTTGCATTTAACTGTAACTGGTGTCAGTCTGACTTTCTATAATCTAGATGAATAGGCCTATATGTATTGTGTCTGCACTACAAATGTCTGGAATTTATCTTGGTAAAGTGAGTCATCTAATGTTTGTTCCATAAGTGAAAGAACCCTGCATTCCAGGCTTATAAAAATGTTTCCATCAACACCCACACACTTTTTGACTTGACACCTTTTCCGGTAGCATGCTTTTAATTCATCAACTAATGCAGGGTATTGTTGAGTACAGTGTGGGCACTGCTGTCCAAACTAAATTATGAGTCTAAGATAAGTATTTATGCAGTGAAAGGAATATGTATCATGCCTAATATTTCAAAGATAAACTTACCAACCAAACCTTTAATCTCACTGACGGTGAACTCCGGGTCTGGCATTCTGTATTTTTTTAAAAGAATAAAGTCAACATAAGCATATTAACTTCAAACCATTCCACAAAGACTAATATTTAACCAAGGCAAACAAGAACATTTAATAGGCTAAATAGGATTGGATTGTTCACACGTCTTCATATTGTACTCATCTCTCACCTGAGCCCCAGTCCATCTTTGGCTTTGAAAATAAGAGGGGTCTGAAGTGCCTCTCTCTGAACATACTCATAAGTGAAATCTGAGAAGAAAAAAATGTAGGTGTTCAATGGGCCATTATAACTTCAATATTGCACGTGGTACAGCAGAGTGCAATTTGTGTGCGTCTCAATGGCTGCGTTTAGACAGGCAGCCCAATTCTGGTCTTTTTTCCCCACTAATTGGTCTTTTGACCAATTAGATCAGCTCTGAAAAAGATCTGCAGTGAAAAGATCTGTTGTGATTGGTCAAAAGACCAATGACTGGAAAAAATATCAGAATTGGGCTGCCTGTCTAAACACAGCCATAGATTTGTGAGGACATCCTGCACAAAAACAAATTAACCAATGGGAACTTCTCCTCTAATGTGTGTGAATGCAATGGATGAAAAGGAAGAACATTTTAAAGGCCCAATGCAAACGTTTTTATCTCAATATCAAATCATTTCTGGGTAACAATTAAGTACCTTGCTGTGATTGTTTTCAATTAAAATGCTAAAAAAGAAACAAAAATACAGTAGCTTCTTAGCAAAGACCAATTTCTCAAGCAATCATTTTGCTAGGACTGTCTGGGAGTGGTCTGAGTGGGGAGGGGAAAACAGGAAAACTAGCTGTTATTGGCAGAGAGGTTTGGAATGCTCTTTCTTATTGGTCTATGAACTAATTTACCACCTGGTGATGTCACTAGGCAGGCCAAAACGCCATCCCACCAAAACAGGCTGAAATTTCAGGTGGTGTTTTCAAACAGCTCTTACACTAAATTGGCATTATCATCATTTTCACAGTATTATTCCAACCTCAGTGTGGAAATATATATATAAAAAACACAGGAATATAACGTTTTTGACTGCGCTGGGCCTTTAAGCATGTCCAGTATGCACCTGCACACCAGTGATGAGTCTGCATGATGGGGGGGCAGTGAGTGTGGTAGGCTAACATTATGAATTAAACATTTTTTATTTTATTTTTTTTACCTTTGCCGTCCATCAACTGAACGAAATGTGTGTTGTACGAATTGCTAACAAGTTTCTCCTCCAGATTAAAACCCCTGACATTTGCAATTTCTTCAACGTCAGAGAAGTCCTCATTTTCGTCGTACATTGTCCGGCAGATGGAGCGCTAGTAGAGGAATGAAAATACATGTTATAAAAGTATCAGTCAATATTATTTATCATATCTTACCAATAATGTTCTCAAAATACTAGAGTATGTAAAGAACATGTAAGTATAGCTTTGAATAAGGGCGGTCGTTTCAAATTAGAAATAGCGTAGGCCAGGCAGTACATTATCTTATGTAGGCTAGAGAGAGATCACAATAAAACAGTGGTGCACGTGGCCATGCTGTATTTTTGGTTGTAGATTGGCCTTCAGCTGCAAACACCTTTACAGATGATTAAACAATGCTAGTTAATAACGTCAATTAATCGCTATGTCCAGGATAAACATTAACATAACGTACTAAGATGCACAACAATAACAACAACGTTGCGCAGTGAGTGGGCTTGTGAATAATGACGTCTATCATTTACCAAGTAAAATATAGCCTAAGTGACTACATAAAGCTGACGTTTGTCAATATTTTAACTTAACATAGGACGTCTTCTGATCTGAGGGTCACTGAAATGCTAACAAGCTATGCTACCACTGATATCTCAGCTAACCTAGCTAGCTAGTCCAGTTAAAAGCTAGGCTAGCTATGCTAGAATAGGGTAATAATGCTACACACCAGCTTGCGTCCAGAATCTGCACCCGCTTCCATGATCTGAGCCCTTGCCTAGTGTATCTGTTTAGCCCTTCATTTAAAAATGATAATAATCACATTCAAACTAATTATCACTGCGTTTCGACTCAAGTAAGTGGTAACCATATTTGTTTTGTGCTGGATAACGTCACCGATAGAATCAAAACATTGTTGGACAACGTCATGCGTCATCTCCCACAATACTTATTCTTCACGTCAACTATGAAAATAGTTCTGAATGTATAACAAACAAATACTATTACATTTCTTTCTCTGACTATTTCACGGTCTGTCATAGACCTGCAATTTCATGCACAACAAAAGCTGCTTGGAGTCCGCATACATGCTAGCTCTAGTTTAGATCCCTCAATATGGATATATTGCATGCATGTACGCTATTGGGCACAATGGGCAGTGGGAACATTGTCTAAAATAATTCAATTGATTATTGCAATTTGTTAGTTAGTAGCGAGACATTTGTATCAACGTGTCATGCGAGTGGCTTCGTTATAATCATCCACTGTCGTTCAAATTATTATAAATAATTTGCAAGGATAACTGGCACTGTTTCATCGCATTCTTCACTGGCATACGTTTCAGATAGCCAGGTTCGATTTTCCACGAGTGGCCCTGCATGACTGACTAATGACAGTAATCAAATTATTGTATGCACTAGAAATATAGTTTCTGGGTAACTAATTACCATGTGAAACTTAAGTGATTTTTTTTTTTATGATCCAACTCACTTATTATTATGGATAGGCAGACTTGTTCGTAGTTTATTAAGCTTTGCCGCAATGGCTTATGGGTGCAGCCAGCTCGAGCGAAACGACAGGGTGTAGGTGTTCGGTTCAGAGACGGTGCGTAAGACGTAGACGGTATAAAGTTTAAACAGCATTATGCTTACAGTAGTTTATTGTCATTATTTAATGTCAACATCGCGCTAGCGACAATCGATGGAAAGTATCGTAACTGCTGCCAATTTCTACATCAATTTCTTTGGACACCGAGGATGTTATCGCTGGCTAGCTAACGCCTATCGTTATTATTAAACAGCCACATACGAATCAAACAACGCCTGTTCAGTCTATTCAATTTCAGCGGCACAATGAGTCTGAACGAACATTCATTGCAAGCACTGTCTTGGAGGAAGCTTTACTTGAGTCGAGCAAAACTGAAGGCTTCCAGTCGAACGTCTGCTCTACTGTCTGGGTTCGCTATGGTAAGGAATAAACTCGCCCAAAGATGCATTGCAGCAGAGGCAAGTCTTTGCTTTCCATAGCAGGATGACGGCTAGGCATCATCCAAAAGCAGAATCCTTGTATATTCATCTCATGTTGTATAGATTCTTTGCACCCCCAAGTTTTGCATTGCAGTTTTGCGTCGCAGTTTTGCATCATTTGGAAAGATCATGTATGGATGGAATTTTGACAGCACGTTTTTTCCCCCTTTATATATCTCTAGTTCCAGTCTGTCTTGTATGCTAATTTTCTCTTTGATACATTTCATAATGATATTACCCCTTTCTCCTCTCTAGGTAGCAATGGTGGAGGTTCAGTTGGACACAACCTATCCTTACCCACCTGGTCTCCTCATTGCCTTCAGTGCCTGCACAACTGTGTTGGTGGCCGTTCACCTTTTTGCCCTGATGGTTAGTACCTGCATCCTGCCTAACATCGAGGCAGTCAGCAACGTTCACAACCTCAACTCGGTGAAGGAGTCTCCACATGAGAGAATGCACCACCACATAGAGCTGGCCTGGGCCTTCTCTACAGTCATTGGCACCCTGCTCTTCCTGGCTGAGGTTGTACTCCTCTGCTGGGTCAAATTTCTACCCATTAGGCCTAAGAACCACAACCCCAACAATGGGACCATATCTGCAGGTGTGGCTGCTGCCATCACATCCACCTCCATCATGGTGCCTTTTGGCCTGATATTTATAGTCTTTGCTGTACATTTCTACCGTTCCCTTGTCAGCCACAAGACAGACCGGCAGTTCCAGGAGCTGGAGGAGCTATCCAACCTGACCAGGCTGCAGAATGAGCTGGATGGCAGAGGGGAGTCCCTCATGCAATCCCCCAGCTCTCAATTCCCCTGAAGACTGACCACTGACAAGATAGATATCTCTACCATGCCAATACCTTTGTCATTAGTTTGACATTTTCTATTAAAACACTGTACATAATCTGCTCATAATTTGTATGAAAGTGTTGTGCTACTCACTGTTTCAAATGGTCACATTTCAACATGATTTTTAAAAGAAGGAATCAAGTCCGTGTTACTTACATATAACTGTAAAACTATGCCACTTAACGCATGTACACATGTAACAGAAAAAAACAACACCGTCTTAACTGGCACTTGGAGTATTGTATTGCAGACAGTTTTTTTAAATTCCATTTACCTTGCAGGTAATAGTGCATGAGGCTAAAGAGGGCTCATTAACATAATATCTGTATTGGGGCAAGGGGTCTTGCCTTATTGTTATGAGCACCACTGAATGTCTTATGGAGCTTTCAAGACAGCTCGGAAACTCTGAACCTCCGAGTTAAAATTTTCGAAGTGGGTAACCCGGGCCTCATTTTTCTACAAGTTTCCAAGCCGGAAAAGTCTGAGTTCCGAGTTGTCTTGAACGCAGCATTACTTCTGTAAGAGGTGAATATGTTCCGTATTCAACCTAATGTTCAGATTTTTTCTTTTTACAGTTAATATTTGTGATATTAAATGTAATCCGCCTGCTTAAGTTATTTTTAGTCCAAATGTTACTGCATAATGTTACTGTTACTTACATAGTAGTAAACTGTGGTATTGAAATAAACATTTTGTACAATGATTATTGTCTGAACAATGTTTTTGTGACATAGAAAAGCTTAAACATGCTGAAGTTATTTTCACTGCTGCTTAAACAGTGAATATAGAGATGAACTGCACATTCTTTCTCAACACAATTCAATTACATTTACATTGTTTAGCAGACGCTCTTATCCAGAGTGACTTACAAATTGGTGCATTCAACTTATGATAGCCAGTGGGACAACTGCTTTCTTTTTTTATGGGGGGTGGGGGAAGGAGGATTACTTTATACTATTCCAGGTATTCCATAAAGGTGTTATCTTCGTGAAGGTGTTATCTGTTGCTTTCATTTCCTGTCAAAAGTGCACCCTCTGTGACTTATTTGTACACTGAGTTGGTGGGTCTTGGTAAATATAGAAAAGTTTGGTCATAGGCACAGCCTTAAAAACCATGTAACCATTTGCTTTTTGTTTTGCTTCTAGGATACATTTTTGTAATACCTCAAGTTGCCACTGGGGCATGATAGACAGATGGCGCTGTGACCTCATTTCAAGTCTGATCATGTTCAGTGGTCCTGTTTCAGAGAAGTAAAGGTACTAAGATCTTACTCATGATGTTGTGCTCTCTTTATTTGTTAAATGATGGCATTTCACTGCATGGTGTCCAGAGATGGAGCACTTTAGGGTGGTCCTGCTTTGGTATGTCCTATTCACTGTGGTATGTTGACTGTTTCCATTAAAACTGATCTCACATCCAACAGATGTACCTTAAGCAGAGAAAAGTGGGCCACCTCACCATACAGTGAATTGATAATCACCAGACCTGGGTTCAAATACATGTGTATTCTATTATTTGTTATTTAAATACTTATTTTCTGTGTATTTCTGTATTTTCAAATAATGTGGCCCGAAGCAACTACTTATTTTGGAAGTAATTGTAAAGTATTTTCAAATAATTTCCTATAAATAGCCTACTATTTGAAAGTATTTTCAAATACTATATTCAAATACCTGGATTAAATGCATGGAAGTGTAGTTGAGTATTTTCAAATACCTGCCAATACTTTCCAAATACATTCCAATATTCAACTACTTGTCTTTTCAAAGAAATATCGGAATACTTTGAAATGTATGTGAAAGTAATTGAGATATTTGAAATAGTATTTGAACCATGGTCTGCTATTCACACAAGCATTTAAAGCAGGCTCAGCACCACACCTGCAACACCCAGTAAAGACAAACTTCTTTAAATGCTTCAAAAGACAACGTATGTACCTTAGGAGTTGTGTATATTGTCGTTTCCTCTTCTCTTCCAAAGTCTGACACGGTTCCACATTTGGCCACTCCGTCCACCCAGAAGCCCTCATAAAGCTGACCTTTGTCCAGGTAAAATAACTTCCCATGACCATTCTTCTTCCCATACTTCCAGTTGCCTTCACATCGTTATTTTCCTTTATTCCCTAATTTGTGTTGAAGCCAATCTCAAAACCCGACATACTGTTATAGTTTACGCCCAAATCCAAACCGAATTCATTTACTTTGTTTCACCAAATACATGTTTTATTAACTAATCGCTGTTGCCACATTAGTAACATTATGCAGTGTGCAGTATTTCTGTCTTTCAGTGTTTCATTGAATTACAGCCATATTGTCAAATGTAGGCTACAATTATTCGTCTACCTCACCCATCCACTTACACACTGGAAATCAACTTTCTTGTCTTGAACGCACCCGTTGTGACAGTCATGAGACAGTCTTCCATGTAAAGTAAATTGCCGCTACCTAGACGAAACATGCCCTGTCAGTGATGTTTGTCCTTCAGCCATTCTCCCTCATATACAGTATAGTGGGAAAGGAAAAAAGTGTAGGCCCTATAGCTACATTCTTAGTACCTGTTGAAAGATTAACAAAAAAAAAGGAGAGAACCAGTCACGGCCCAATGGGTCTAAATGGTGACGCAGTAAAAGCCAATTTATGCTTGATCCGAAAATGTGGTCGGAGGCGCGGTATGGATGGTGTGACTCAATTGCCGAGGCATGCAGTGGCCAAATTGAGCTCTGTACCGCATCGCCATGCGCAGCGCAAATTTTGTAGCAATGCAGAGGGCTCCGTATAGCTCCGCATTGACATGATTGTTTGATGGTAGGTGGGGGCGGGAGGTCTAGTATTTATACAAACTCACTTCCTTGACAACTTCCTTCACAACAGCTCTGCACTGAAGCGCAAGAAGTATGAATGCCCTGACTTCTGCAGAGGCCATATCACCCTAAATGCTGCACGGCCAATGCAGATAACGGGTTGACCATGTAGCGCCTTTAAGCCTAGGCCTAATACCTCAAGATAAATGATGTGTGCAAAATCTAGGCTATGTCATGCAACAGTAGTACCATGCTTCTTGCTGTCTAGCTAATCCCTTGTGTATTCATCTCCATTGACTGAATAAACAGTGTCGCAGTCCACACTTCTGTGGCTTTCTGTCCCCTAATTTTGCCAGGGGCTCCACTTTTCGAGTTTTCTTCAGATGAGGCATGGCTGAAAGCAAAATGTACATTGTTTGAAAAAGTTCACATCCTTAAAATTACAATCCTGAGTTAGTTTTACAGCCCAAATGCAGCCCCACCTCTTGGTTTGGGGGATGCTGTGGAAATGTAGTAACCACTCTAGAGCTAACTGTTAGCTATGGATCAAATCAATCAAATCAAATTTTATTTGTCACATGCTTCGTAAACAACAGGTGTAGACTAACAGTGAAATGCTTACTTACTGGTCATTTTCCAACAATGCAGAGTTAAAGATAAAAAATATCAAATAGAAATAGTGGCATGAGGAATAAATGCATAATAAGATGATAGTTGGCTCTGTATTGTTAGATTTCAGTGCAGCCTTTAATGTTATTGATCTTAAATTGTAATTGTAGAAACTCATTTGCTATGGCTTTACATCACCTGCCATCACATGGTTGGAGAGTTATTTATCCAATAGAACCCAGTGTTCTTCAATGGAAGCTTCTCTAACATCCGACATACAGTGCTATGTCCCTCAGGGCAATTGCCTTGGGCCAGTACTCTTCTCTATTTCTAAATTATTTGCCACTGGTCTTACACAAAGCTAGAATGACTATGTATACTGATGATTCCACAGTGTACATGTCAGCAACCAAAGCCAGTGAGCTCACTGAAATTCTAAACAAGAAGTTAGTCAGTATCAGAATGGGTGATTAATAATAAACTGGTCTTAAATACATCTAAAACTAAAACCATTGTATTTGGTTCAAAACATTCTCTAAGACCTAAACCTCAACTAGAGTTGTGCATAAAGGGTGTGACCATTGAGCAAGTTGAGGAAGCTAAACTCCTAGGTATAACATTGGATGGTCAATTATCATGGTCAAGTCATATTTACAAAGTTGTTGTGAAGATGGGGAGGGGTATGTCTGTTATAAAAAGATGTTCTGCGTTTTTGACACAAAAATCAACTGTTCGACTTGTTCAGGCTATGGTCTTGTCCCATCTTGATTACTGTCCGGTAATATGGTCAAGTGCAGCAAAGAAAGAACTAGCAAAGCTGCAGCTGGCTCAAAACAGAACAGCAGGCCTTGCCCTTAACTGCACATACAGAGCTAACATCAACAACATGCATGCCAGTCTATCCTGGTTGAGGGTTGACGATAGAGTAACTGCTTCTCTTCTAGTTATGAGAAGTATTACTGTAATGAAAATTCCAGATTGTCTGCGTAATCAAATAACATTCAGCTCAGACACGCATACATACCCCACAAGACATGCCATCATGGGTCTCTTCACAGTCCTCAAGTCAAAAACAAATTCACGGCCACACAGACACACTAACAAACTTTTTTATATATTTTTATTGTTTGTATATCATTGTATTTTACATTTGTGTGACTGTCGTTGTCGATCAGTGTTATGTTACTTGTCATGTTTTGTGTTTTTTTGTGGACCCAGAAAGAATTGCTGCTGCTTTGGCAAATGCAAATTGGGATCTGAATAAACCAATAACAATAAACAATGAATAACGACAAAAAAAAATAACATGACTATATACATATAATTGAAGTAGCTATGCACATATAGGTAGGGGTAAAGTGACTAGGCAATAGGATAGATAATAGACTGAGCTGTAGCAGCAGTGTTTGTGGTGAGTGTGAAAGTGTGAGTTGCGTCAGTATGCATGTGTACGCATGTTATATGTGTATGTAGTGTGTTCATTGTACAAGTAGTTGAAAATAGTTTATATTTTGAAGCTGTATCTACATTGTTTGTTTACAATGACTGCTCAAATGACAAGCAAAACATAAACAAAATAAGAAAGAAATAGCTGATTCATGTGCCAACTTGCTAGGTAATGTTACCTGGCTAGCTAGCTAATGACCTGTTTATATTATACATCACTTTTACAGCTAAAAAAACATTAATACAAATTGTACCTCATATGTGTCCAAGCGAACAACTCCTTTTAGTTGTCTTAACTTTAAAAGCGAAGTAAAATTTGACATTAGGTCAAGATATCTAGCTAGGTGGTAAAAATAGACATGAATCATGATGAGTGGCAACCACTGAGGTATAGATGGATTAGCTGACATCACGAAAACAACATGCACGCTTAAATGGGGCAGAAGTCCATGAGTTGTTGTGATTCTGGATGGCCAGATAGCTACCAACAATGACAAGAAACTGCCATGTGGGGAATTGTAAGCAAGTGACTCGTTTCAGCTAGTTGAATCTTATTCTTGATACCATGACTTGTTTTGAGGCGTTTTGACTGATTTCATGTTAATGGTATTATGGCAAACATTTGCTAGCTATTTAACCAACAACTGTAATGATGTATTTGAGAGAAGTGCTCATTGTGTAAATGTATTTATGCTTTCAATAAACATTGGAGACAAAATATAGTTTACATGTTGTCAACAACCTAAGCCAGTGGTAGGTAACACTGTTCCTGGAGTGCTGCTGCTGCTGCTTCTATGATATAATGGCGGTCCGCAAACCAACGTTAAATGTGCATGCCGCCACCTACTGTGCTGGAGTGTGTGGTCAATCACGGTTTACAACATTTACATTGACATTTTAATCATTTAGCAGACGCTCTTATCCAGAGCGACTTACAGTTAGTGAATGCATACATGTTTTTTTGTTTTTCATTCTGGCCCCCCGTGGGAAACGAACCCACGGGGG